TTTATTTATTTATAAAATTATATATTTATATATTCAATTATTCAATTAAAAAATAAAAACATTAATTATTTTACAATTTATGATATTTTTATAATTTTTGCTAACCCCAACTCTAACTGCATAAGCAACTTTAAAAACTCATTGTTCCATTGTTTGATCTTAATTACAGGCAACGAATTGAGGTGAGTTTAATTTGAGGCATAGGTTCAATGTGCCAAAATATTTGACAACTTAGCTCATAAATTTTTTTTTTCTATTTTTTCGCCTATTTCGGCTTCCCCTCCTTTAAAAAAAAAAACTACAAATATAAATATATATATAATTAACATTGTAAATAATAATTAAAATTATTAATTAGTTGTAGAATATGTAAGTGTGTAATGAGTTAATTAATAATATTATTAATAAATAAATCTAATTAAACAATACTTAAATAATTAATAAAATGATCAGTAGGTGTACTATTCCATAAATAATTATTTATAAAAATACTTAATTAATTAGGTAATTATCAATATATTATATATTAAATACTTATTAAATCGTCATTTAAATAAGTAGTTTGATAATTACTAGTACAATTATTAATTAAATTATTTGATAACTAAGTAAGCTTCTAATTATATTAGTTATTATTAAAAATAATTGATGATGATTAAAATTGAAATGAATTAGTAACTCATACTTAACATACAAATTAAATTCAAAAAAATACTAAATTTAATTTTAAATAAACCACAAATTAAATTCCAAAAATATTAATTTTAAATTTTAAATGAACCAAACGTTTTAAATCCTTTATGATATTGTCAAATAGTTTCATAATATTTAATAGAATTTAATAACTATCTTATCAAATAATTTTAAAAATATGACTTTATCAAGATTTACTAATTCCTATTAAAATTAAATCCTACTTTTTGCCAAAGAGCCCCTAAGAATTTTTCCCCGATTCCAATCAAAATAGATCACGTCAGCCTGTACACAATGTGTCACACTTCATAACTTAATCTGAAAGAATTTTTTCTTTTGTCTTTAATTAAAAAATAACTAGAAATATTTAAAATCATCTATTAGTAATAACAGTAGAAACAAATTTTATAATTCAAAACATTAGTGTACATTTATATTCATTACTCAAAAAATCATTTCCATTTCCATCCTCAAAACTTGTATAACAATATACCTAAATAGAATACCAATTAAGTAAAATATACATTTTTAAAATATAACCAAATTATCAAGGATTGTGTAAAATATTATTTCAAGACTTTAATTGTACTACGACATTATTTTCAAAGTCCAGATTATTTTTTATTTAATTAAAATCATACAAATTCTAAAATATCTGATATAAAATTTCTAGAAAATATTTAAAATGTTCAAAATCTTGATCTCATTAATATATAAAAGTTATGTTGTGAAAGTTTTACCAATGCAAAGTTATCCAAGTTTTTCGTTAATAGAAATAGAAATTTAATAAAAAATGAGAAAATTCCAAATTTTTAATAATTGAGATAAGCATAATGCGACAAACCTCGATCCAAACAACTTTTTCAACTGGCCCGACTATTAAAAATGACCCGAAGTAGCTCAAAATTAACTTTCTGCCTCCTACATTGACTTGCATGACACTCTAAATGACGGAATAATGAAAATATTGCATATTTAAAATGGTTGAATTTGGCATAACACTACGGCACTAGTTCAGAAGTGCCTACAGTTCATAACTCTCTCCGATAGTTTTAAAGTATGACAAAATAACATAATTCTTTTATAATTCACCCAATCTTGTTTATCACATTTATTCTTAAAAATATAAATCAACACATTCATTCTCCACTCGTCTAGCAACTTTTAATCTTCAAAATAATATTAAAATGTTTAGTAAGAGAAAAATTCAAACCTTCGAGGTGTTCGGCTTAACCGGAGTGATCGATGGGTTTCGGCGGCAGAGTGCGGGCGTGATCGGCGGCCAGAGTGAGGGAGTGATTGTCAATCGGACTTACGGTGTCGACGACTCGATTCCTATGGAGGAAGCCGGAGGCGAGCGCAAGCGCGAGCGAAGTGACGTCTGGAGGAAAATGATATGCGAACAAATGAGGAGGAATGGTCGGTTTTGTCAATTTTATGTCAATTGTTTATAGTTATACGGCTGTTTTGACCGCCGGAAAAACACTTATCACCGGCGGCAAAGCCGCCGATAAAGCCGACATGAAAACATAAAATCGGCGGCCTACCGAGGGGTTATTTTACCGCCGGCATTTCTAGTGGTTTATTATTAAACACCGGTGGTCAGACAGCCGGTTAAACCACCGATAATCACTGATTTTCTTGAAGTGAGCCCAAAATTACAGAGAATAGAACGCCGCAATGTTATTATTTAGCACATAATACTGTAACAGAGCCGAGGCATTATAACACCCAACACTGAGAAACTCAAATAGTAATATTTTTTTCAAAATTTACTCCTTACCCTTAAGACTCATTCTAGAGCACACAGTCGTTTTCAAGCATTAAGAAACTTCCAAACATACAAATG